CTCCTCCCCTCTTCGCCGCTCGGCCCATTGCGTCCTCCCAGGCGCTCCTCCGCGCCCCAGGTCCTCCCGGGCGACCTCCTCCGCTCCTGCCTCGGTCCGTGGCGCGGCCCGCTGCTCCGCCGCAAGGGCAAGGCTGAAGGCCCTTTTATGTCGGACAATGAATGAGAAGAACAACTCGCTTGTATTGATCTCGAGCTTATACCTTTATACATGTACAACATTGACACAGTCATAGGGCTAACTAGAATAGCTACAAACAAGGAGAGCCAAGGAACGTGCTTGTGCTCGCTAACACCCCCCTCATGATGAGATGAGCGTCGTTGCGCTGCGGCGCATAGACTGTCTCTCGAACTCCTTGAAGCTTGCCGGGAAGCCCTTTGGTCATCACATCGGCGAAATTGTTGTGTCGTTAGTACACCGTATAATCCGGCATTGGCCAACAAAGAACCTTTTCTCGGACGAAATGCACATCGAGCTCAATGTGTTTGGTGCGTTTGTGGTGCACGGGGTTGGAGCTCATGTAGCATGCGGAAACGTTGTCGCAGAAGACGATCGTAGCCTTGGACATTGGGCAGTCAAGCTCACCTAGAAGCTGGCGAATCCAGGTGCACTCGGCCACAGCGTTTGCAACGCCGCCAGATATTCGGCTTCGGCGCTTGAATGAGAGAGCGGTGGTCTATCGCCGGCGACCACGAGAGAAGAGTGTCTCCCATGAACACGCAGAACCCTAAGGTTGAGCGTCGGTGTCTGGGCATCCCGCCCGGTCGGCGTCCGAATAAGCGGCGATGTTCGAGTTATTCTTCTTGCTACCAAGATGAAGGTTTGGCGTCGATGTGCCGCGGATGTACCGGAGAATTCGCTTGCGAGTGCACGTGTGCCGTTGTGGAGTGCGTGCATGTGCAAGCATGCTTGCTTGAACGGCATCTTTGCAGGTCGTATGAGTCATCGTCAAAATATTGGAGCGCCGCCGACGAGACTCCGGTAGTCCGAGGCATCGGAGGTGTTGAGAGGAGAACCGGCTTCAACCGGATAGCTTGCCGGTGGTGTCGATGGGTGTGTCGCGCGGATTCGGCGATCAAGATGCCGCACGCAGTCCGAAGAAGTCGAGGGCGTCTTCGCTGCTTGTTGGAGGAAGAAGCCCGATCGTTCTTACCGAACTTGAATGCCAAGGAAGTAGTGCACGGGTCCCATGTCTTTGAGCTTGAACTTCGGCGTTGATAGTGTTCACAACCCAAATAAGGAGCCCGCTAGAGGAGGCGGTGATCACGATGTCATCGGCGTAAAGTAGGAGATACGGTTTCTTTTCCTTGCCGTAGGATGAAGAGGGAACTGTCGGAGCGGGTGGGCCAGAAACCCATCGAGCCAAGGAAGGTGGCCAGGCGCATGTACCACGCCCTGGGCGCCTGCTTCAGGCCGTAGAGGCTCTTGGAGAGGCGGCACACGAGGTTGGGACTGTTGGTGAAGCCGGCAGGTTGTCGAGCGTGAGACTTGTTCGTCGAGGATGCCGTGGAGGAATGCGTTGTTGACGTCAAGTCGATGAACCGGCATCATGGCGTTGGGCGGCGAGATCGAGCACCGTCGCGATCGTCGCCGGTTTGACAACCGGGCAGTACGTTTCGCCATAGTCGATTCCCGCTCGCTGTGTGAATCCACGGACGACCCACCGGGCCTTGTAGCGATCGAAGCTTCCATCTTCTTTGAATTTGTGACGAAAGATCCATTTGCCGCTGACGACGTGGGCGCCGTGTGGGCGAGGAACGAGTTCCCACGTGTCGTTGGCAAGCAAGGCGTCGAATTCCGACTGCATCGCTTTGCGCCAGATTTCATCTTTGAGTGCTTGATTGACGGTCGCGCGGGATGGGCGAGATGTCCGCCGTGGTTGCAAGCCGCCAAAGACATCGAGGGTTGGGCTTGAACGCGTGCCCACACGTGCCACAGTGATCATGGGGTGGGCGCCGGAGTGGCGACCGAGTTTAGGCGGAGGAGATGAGCCCGCGATCGAGTCCGGATTTGTTCTTGGCCGGTGGAGATCGTGGTGATGCGGTCGTGAGATGGTCGCGCTGGATCGCGCTGGGTCCACCGGACCAGCGTTGTGGTCTGGTGTCTTGTGATGATCGTGGCGCGGAGTCGAGGCCACCAGGATCGCGCGGCGCGGCTGGTGCGCGCGGCGATGGCGGGGGCGGAGGTGCCACATCGTTGTCGCTGAGATTCGGGCGCCAGGGGTTGTAGGCGCAGTTTGTTGGCGAGGTTGGTGCTGGTCCGGATCGGTGGGGAAGACTACTTCGTCGAAGTGAACATGTCGCGAAATAATCACTTTCCGCGTCGACAAAGTCAGAGCAACCGATAGCCACGATGATCCTGCGAATATCAATGAAAATACAAGCCACGACACTGGGTGACGGTTTGTTAGGGCTGGTGGACTCGGTATTGGGGTAGCATAAGCAACCAAAACTCGCGAGGATGTGTAGTCCGGATCGGTGTGGTAGAGGAGGGAATAGGGGTGGCGAGGAACGTGGCTTGCAAGGTTTTCGATTGTGAAGATAAGTCGATGTTTGCAAGGCTTCACTCGAGAATATTGGTGGAAGAGCGGCATGAAGAAGGAGGCGCGGACTCCTTCGTTCAAGGTCGCAGAGAACACGTTCGGCCTTCCCATTCTGCTGGAGGTGTAAGGACATGAAAGGCGAAGCACGATGCCATGTTCGAGTAAAATCTGCGGAGGACGAAGTTGTCGAACTCGCGTCCATTATCGATTTGAAATGCGTGAATTGGACTGCTGAATCTGCGTGCGTGGCGTAGCCATGGAAAGGCATTATGTGTTTGGCAACATCGGACTTGTGACGGAGAGAATGTCCGGACAAAGTGTGTGTAGTCATCTAAAAGCACAAGATAATATTGAAATCTCGTGAAGCTTGCAATAGGTGACGTCCAAACATCACAATGAACCAATGCAAAGGGAGCGATGGTTTTATTTTGAGAAGAAGCAAAAGGAAAACGAATGTGTTTGCACTGTCGACGGGCATGACATGTATGTGAAAGCTCTTTATTACAAGTGAATGAAAATGATCAAGAAGACGCACGGAAAGACTCATGGCCGGGGTGACCAAGGCGTTGGTGCCAAAGATCTGCAGAGAGGCGGCGGTGAGGCGGTGTGAGGATGCAGATGGCACCGGGTGCGAAGGATAGAGATCGCCCGTCTTTGTCATCATGCGGTATCACCTCCCGGGTGTGTCGATCCTTGATAGAGAAACCACAATCGTCAAATTCAACGGTAATTGGATTTTCATGAGTAAGAGTGCGAATCAAACAAGGTTCTTGATTAAGGATGGGGAGATCGAGCGTTATTTAGAGTAAGTGGAGTAGAAGAGGTTTTAATGGAGGAGGAACCAGTGTGAGTAATGGGGAGAGAGGTGCCATTACCAACAATGATTTTAGTAGAAGATGAATTGGGCGTGAGAGGGACATGTTACGAGCCTTGGGACATATGTGACGAGGCACCGGTATCGAAGAACCACTCGCCATGGGGACTGGGTTGGTGCGAGGAGATGTTGTTGAGAGTGGCGGCGGTGGGGATCCAGCTAATTGGAGGCGCCAATGACGTAGGCTGCGGGCGCCAGAGCGACGGGCGAGCACCGAGGACGCCGGTCTTTGGAGCCAGCGGTGGCCCTGGAATGGCGAGCTGAACCATGCCCGTCCGAGGATTGGTCGTGGGCCAAGAGCTTCGGAGGAGGCGCTGGTTGACGGTGTCCCTATTTGCTTCTTCTTCTTCTTGTTGAAGGAGGAGGAGGTAGACCGCGCGGCCGTTGTTGGGTCTTTGGAGGAGAAGGCGTCGTGGCGAAAAGTTTCCGGGCGCCACAGGTCGATGTGCCGTGAGCGGTGTGGGGCGACAAGGGCGGCCGCGACTGGAGGTTGGCGGCCGAGGACGTGGTTGAAGAAGAGGCCAACGGTGTGGTGCCGCGGTGGCAGCGGCTGGTGGACGAGAGGGCCGCGCAGCTTGCATCTTCTCGGATTCGGCGATTCGATGTTCCTCGAGTTGCGATGGATCGGGTCTTGAGGAACGGGCAAAGGCGACGAAGAGTGATGTGGGGATCGCATGATGAAGTCGAGGGTTGAGGCCATGCGACGATGTTGTAAATGAGGTCCTTGTCGTTCACCGAGCACCAAGGCCAGCGAGACGATCTCGCCATGACTTTCATGCGAGAGCAATACTCGAGAAGGGGAGATCACCTTGGTAGAAATTCGAACTTCGGCCAAGAGATAAGCAATGGCGAGTATCCTTGTTGTCGCGGAAGAGGTTGCGGACGCCGCGCCGCGGGAGTACGCTGTGATGTCGGTGTCCTCCGAGACCATGGAGAGGAGCTCGGGAGAAATGCGGTTGTAGAACCACGAGACAATGGCGCAATCGTTACGCACCAGATCGTTGTCGCCTTTGGACTTGGTGCTGCCGACATGATCGCCAAATTTCGCCGTCTTGGCCGAAGATGGCGGAGAAGGAGCGAGCCCAGCGACGTAGTTGGCTTCATTGAAGTCGAGGGACGATCGGCACGCTTGTTGAGGATGTTGATGCCGTGGACGACGGACGGTGCAGCGGGCTCGGTTTGGGCGCGGAGGGTGTGAGGAGGAAGGACTCAGCGTCGGAGTTGCTGCCGGAGCCCGAGGAGGAGGAGGACGAAAGAGGAGCTCATGGCGGCACCGAGTGGTGGAACGTGGGCAGCGGAAGTTCAGGATCGAGGAGCGGCTGATACCATGTAATCGGACAACAGAATGAGAAGAATAACTCGCTTGTATTGATCTCAGGCTTATACCTTTATACATGTACAACATTGACACAGTCATAGGGCTCACTAGAATAGCTACAAACAAGGAGAGCCAAGGAACGTGCTTGTGCTCGCTAACACCGCCGATCTGCTCCCGGCCTTCTTCGGCGCCGCGCGCGCGCCGGGGCCCGACGACGCCCACCCGGTCGCGGAGTGGAAGGGCGCCTGCTTCTACGAGAACAGGGCATGGGTGGAGTTTGCAACGGGACCGGCGGGGGCCTCGGAGGCGGCATAGTCCATGTGGAGGTAAGCGGACGATGGAGTTAGTGGTGGGCGAGGTCACCAGTTGAAATTTGGTGATTCTGAGGTTGCGTTCAATTCAATTAAATAAAATCTAAAGCCTATTGCGTTAATTCCACGAATTATTTTAAACGTACGGTTTTCCCGTCTATTTAGTAGTACTCCACTTTGCTCTTGCAGTGTACTTTCAGTAAAATTCTGGCCTCAATTTTCTGCGAGGTTGATTTCCTTTGCCTAATGTTGGTCTAAACTCTAAAATCGACTATGCTTTCCGTAGACATCCAAAGCACACAGCTGGACTTGCATAGATCTGTATGTATTTGCAACACCGTACAGAGTTACATGGGACTACTACTTTTTGGGGCGAGAGCACACTCTTGATTTCGAAGAATGGGAAAGTGAGGCTGAGTATGAATATGTAAGTATTCACTTCTGCTTTACTTTATATGATCAATATTTCTTCAACTTATACATCATTAATACAAAAATTCTTATTTATTTAATCCATAGTTGATACAAATCCTCTACCATGTTACCTGAAAATAGGTGAAACGTAATGGTGTGTCCATTTTCCTCATGCCATCTGGAACAATTGGCACACTTCGAGCACTTTGGGAGGTCTTCCCTCTGTTCACAAATACTGCGTGGGGTGAGAATGCGAATCTTGCTTTTCTCGAGAAGCATATGGGTGCCACCTTTGAGGAACGGCCGAAACCTTGGGTCTCAGAGTTAAATCCTGATGATATCCACTCTGGAGATTTCTTGGTTTTATCGAAGATCCGTGGGCGTTGGGGTGGTTTTGAAACACTGGAGAAGTGGGTTACTGGCGCTTATGCAGGCCATACTGCGGTTTGCCTTAGGGACTCTGATGGAAAGCTTTGAGTTGGGGAATCTGGTAATGAAAATGAACAGGTCTGGTTATTCATTTTTTATTCTTTTCTCGTTCTGTGTGATTATCGAATTAGAATGAATATTATCTCTCAATCATGTTAGATATCAGTGAATAAACATCATGAAGATAATGTTGGATGATAAGTTTTGGTTATATTGATTAGCTTGTAACTCTTCGATTCAAAATGATGTTTAAAGTGTCCCCTTTAATTTATGGTAAAAAAAGGATGACAATATGCTTGCCAACAATTTCATGGAATGAACGAATTACTGCACAATATGAATTTTGAATTTGGACTATTTCACTAGGATACACTCTAATGCTTTGCATAGCATGTACTAACCAGAAAATCATTTTCTTGTCTGTATCTAAAATTCTAAATGTCCCCTAGACCTCTTAGGGCGCTCGTCTGAAGCACGTCGTTTGTATGATTAAATTCTTCTACCTTAATTACAATGATGCGCAAATCTTTTGCATATTCGAGAAAAAAAATTCTAAATTTGTATGGATAATGTTGTTTTTCCAAATCCTCTGAATGCATCTCAGATATTTGCTTAACAGAGCAGAAAATAAAACATTAAAATAGGAAAGGCAAAACAAGGGATGCCACTGCCAAGTGCCAACCATAGCTGTTTTGTCTGGATGCAAATTATATGCTGTGGGAATACAACTTGGGCAAGTTCCAGCAGAGCTAGTTGTTTCATATTTCATTCTATTGCATGCAATAATCGAGTTCAACAGATATTCAGCATTATCTGACTAGGTGACTATATTAACTATATCTTATAGAACATTGTGTACCAATGGCAATGGGTTCCCTCCAATGTAGTGCAATTTTTCTTTATGAGCTGGAGCAGTTTCAGTGTCCAAAATTAAGCTAACAAATGGCGGGATTGCAGGGAGAAGATGTTATTGCTATCCTGCCCTGGGAGGAATGGTGGGAGTTTGAAGTGACAAAGGATGACTCAAATCCTCAGATTGCACTGCTTCCTTTGCATCCAGATTTGCGAGCAAAATTTAATGAGACAGCAGCCTGGATTTATGCAAAAAGCATGAATGGGAAGCCTTATGGGTATCACAATATGATATTTAGCTGGATTGATACCATCAGTGATAATTATCCACCACCATGAGATGCTCATGTGGTATGATTCTACATGTACAGCTTTGAAGATCATTTTACTGCTAAACCTGGCTATATATGTGCTGTATATCTTGTCTTGTGTTAGATGGTGTGTACTGCAAGTTCACCCGACTAATTTTCTACTTACTACAATACTGTTCTGATTCTTAGATCCTGTATGTTTCAGCTTTCGGCTGGCTTCTGCCACCCAGAAGCTAAAACAAACTGCCTAGCTGTTGCGCTGGCTTTTGAAAAGCTAGAAAACTGGCTTCAACTGAAAACTGAAAAGCACGCTCAGAGGAGCTTTTCTGGCATTTGGTGTGCTGAGAACTAAAAGTTTATTACAAAAGTCAATAGCAAAAACCAACAGTCAGAAAGCCAAAAACCCAAAAGCCAACTTTTAAGCCAAAAGCCCAAGAACTGTAGCTCCAACAAACAAGCCCTTACGATAGATATAGTAACACGTTAAACTTATGGTAGTGGTTTCTATTCCAGTTTTTCTTTTAACATTTTAGGTTTGACTCTGCATTTTGTGAATGGTTTATTAGCTTTGTTACTGAAATCTTTATGAATGATCCACAGGTTGCTTCTGTTATGACTGTATGGACCAAGCTTCAACCAGAGTATGCTGGTAATATGTGGGAAGAAGCCCTTAACAAACGGCTTGAAACTAAGGTTTGGTTAAATTTGTTTGTTGGTATTTCTTCTAGGTGTTCTCCTGTACAAGTTATTGTTCCCTATGGATTCATAGACAATTTCAACCCTTGATTTCTGCATGGCATGATGGCTGATCTTAGTTCCCTAACTTCTGAAAAAATCCAAACAAGTGCCTTACCTTCGCTTTCATATCACTTGAGGTTTTAGACATAAGTTGAGTTGCTAGATAATTCAGGTGGCATGGCAGCTGAAAATAAACAAACAAATAGTCTAACATGACTTGCACAAGGAGAATTCTAGCCTCAGCCTTTCGTGTGTTTAGTGGTCCAGTGCGAGCATTGTTGGCACTCCCCTAGCACCTCACTCAAAATTCGAGTCTGTAATAGCTAGTTTAGCAGTTATAGATAGCACACGTGAGGGTGAAGAAGCAGCACCTCTTAAATGATTATGCTGCTGCACAGGTAGCAAAGAGCAGAGCAGCCAGTGACTAAATATTGCAGATAAGTGACAGTTTGATCCCAGGTATTTGGTTTGATTTGTTAGCTGTATCAAGGATTTGGCAATGCTGGGCCTGGGGAATGGATCCAAGACAAAGTTTGATAAGTTCTTCAGTTAGAACTGAAGTTCCATTCCAGCATGGAGGGGTCTAGCCAAAAACACCTGCATAGCTGGTAGCAGCAGCCAGACAAATTTCAGTTAGAACTGAAGTTCCATTCCATCATGGAGAGGTCTAGCCAAAAACACCTGCGTAGCTGGTAGCAGCAGCCAGACAAATTTCATTATTAACCTTTTTCTGTTTGTTTTCTTGAGCGTTCACTACTTTGTGCTGAAGATTTTGTTTATCTTACTCATACATGCCTCCCTCTGTAAGGTACTCCGTATTTGTATATTACAACTTTGTGGCAATTGACAGCTATAAGTCTTGTCCTTATCTACTTAGGATATTATCCTAAGTAGATAAGGACAAGACTTATAGCTGTCATTCTCCCCCTAAGTCTTGTGTGGCGGCGCCTTCTGGGGAATTTGAACCATCCCAATCCTGGCGCGAAGCTCCTGGAACTGGACCCGTCCAAGGGACTTGGTGAGAAGGTCGGCGAGCTGATCCTAGGTGTTGATGTAGCCGGCCTTGATGCTCCCCTCGTCCAAGCAGCTCCTAATGAAGTGGTACTTGATTCGGATATGCTTGCTGCGCTCATGGAAGACGGGGTTCTTCGCCAAGGCCAAGGCGGACTTGCTGTCCACCCTGAGCTCCACTGCTTCTGCGTCTCTACCCAGGATATTGCCTAGCAGCCGAGCCAACCAGAGAGCTTGAGTCGAAGCGGTTGTGGCAGCGATGTACTCCGCCTCGCAACTGGACAGAGCCACCACTTGCTGCTTGACCGACTGCCAGCTGATTAGACACTTGCCGAGGAAGAATAGCGTCCCACTGGTGCTCTTGCTTGTGTCGATGTCGCCGGCGAGGTCGCTGGCGCTGTACCCGATGAAGTGCTCCGCACCAGGACACCTCGGGTAGTGCAAGCCGTAGTCGGAAATGCCCGCGACGTAGCGGAGGATCCTCTTGACGGCCTGCTCGTGCTCCGTCGTCGGTCGCTGCATGAACCGACTGACGTAGCCAACGGCGAACGTCAGGTTGTACCTGGATTCCTTCTTGTATGTATATACAACTGTCATCGCTTATTGCTTAATATCTTCTGATATAACTATTTTGTAGTTTCACTCTTAGGCCTATTGACACTTATACTGTGTTAATTATTCATGTATACAGAAATCTTTGATTCAACAATTTCATTTTATTGCGCTCTATGGTTATTTAGTTCTTTTGTTTGATTTTCAGGGTCTTCACCTTTCTGAAATCATAGTGGAATCAGAGAAACGTGGGATAACATTTGACAAGTTACTAACTGTTCCTGAGAATGATAGTTGGGTCTATGAAGATGGTCGGTCAGCATCTTGTATAGCTTTCGTCCTTATGATGTACAAGGAGGCTGGACTCTTTGACCCTATTACCAGCTCTGTTGAAGTTACTGAATTCACAGTAAGTGCTCCTGAATCCTTGTGTTCAAGTCTATGGCCTTATATAGGTACCTTTGTCAGAGCAAAAGGATCTGGTGGGGACATATGTGTCGTGAATGCATCTATCTCATTATCTAGTGCACAGTGGAACGCTGGCCTATCATTTTGTTAGGGAGAAAAGAGGGTGGATTGGGAAGGCTTGCCTGCAAGTCTTGTGCATTTGAGTTTCTGACAATAGAGGCTTATACAGAGGCTATTGCCAGAGTCTTGTCTTTCTCAAATCTATTTCTCCCATATTTTGCAGATAAAAGATGCTTACACCCTCGCTGCGGCCGGCCTCGGCCAAGCCCAGACGGCCCGACCGACCCAGCGTGGTGGCATAGGGTGGCCGTGCGAGGCGCGGCCATGTGGGCGGCGTGGGGAGGCCGTGCGGTGACTGTGCACACGGCGCCAACCAACCCGAGACATGTGACACGCGAATTTTAAAGCGTCCAAAACGACTAAACGGTTGCTTCAGGAGCCAAACCATCTTCACCATGCTCAAGATGGTATATAAGACTACCAAATTGAGTTATAACACTACACCATCCTTTAACCCAATCTCTCAAAATAATTCGCGAAACATAGCAATGTCTAACTGTTGATAAACTTTAAAAAATTTTAAGTTTTTGAGCTGAACTTGATTTTAATTTACGATTTCTAAGCTAGTGGAAATATTAGCTAGTGATATCATTTTTCGACAGCAAGTATTTCATTGTTATCTACAAAGTTTGTACTTCACACTTTATTTAAGTATCACACACGTTCTATATTATTTTCGTTTAATAAAAATTAGTTTTTAACCCTACTTGATATACATGGATTATTGAATCAACTTTCGTTTAACATTTTTATTGATCATTTTAAGTTACAAGAAATTTATCTACACACTCTATCACATGCATTAACACATAAACATGATGCTCATGACATGTTTTTGTAAATGATTTAGGGTGTAACACCGAGTGTGTTACAACTCTCCTTAAACAAAATCTCGTACCGAGATTTCACGTGAGTGCCTAGTGTAGGAAGAAGGGTAAGAGTGAGCTTTTAACATAAACTATTATCTCGATACACCGGGGAGAAGATGGGGATAATGCTCCTGAATATAACTCTTGCTCTCAAGTTGCTTTGTCCGTTGAATGATTTTGCCACTGAACTTAATAAAATTTCACTACTTTGTTTCTAGTGACTCTTTTTCATCCAAGATTTTGACAGGATGTTCAATATAAGAAAGATCAGGTTGGAGAGGGAGTCCTTCAATTTCCACCACTTCCTCAGGAACTCGTAAACACTTTTTTAATTGGGAAACATGAAAGACATTATGTACTGCTGACAAGATATCCGAAAGTTGGAGACGATAAGCAATCGAACCACATCGTTCCAAAACTTTATAAGGTCCGACATAGCGAGGAACTAACTTTCCACGGACTCTGAACCGATGCACACCTCTCATCGGGGATACCTTTAGGTACACATGGTCACCAACTTCAAACTTCAAGGGTCTTCTCTTGTTCGCTTAAGTTTTCTGACAATTCTGAGCTGCCTTCAAATGACTCTGAATAACACTAACTTGCTCTTGAGCTTCTTTGATAAAATCAGGTCCAAAGTAACCATGATCATCCACTTCAACCCAGTTAAGAGGTGTTCTACATTTCTTGCCATACAGGGCCTCAAAAGGTGCCATACGAATGCTTTCTTGATAGCTATTGTTATAAGAAAACTTAGCAAGAGTCAAGCATTCGTCCCATTTTTCTAGAAAAGAGATGACACAAGCTCTCAACATATCCTCAAGTACCTGATTGACTCTTTTTGTTTAACCGTCAGTTTGTGGGTGATAAGCTGAACTCCTGAGGAGACGGGTACCAAGGCATTTCTGGAGTTGCTCCCAGAAACGAGAGACAAAGACTAACCCTCTATCGGAAACAATAGTAAGAGGAATTCCATACAGGGTCACAATCCGGTCAAAATATAACTTGGTATACTTCTTAGCTGAATATCTGGTATCCACCAGAAGAAAATAAGCGGACTTGGTAAGACTATCCACAATGACCCAAATAGGGTCGTAGCCCTTGGACGTGCGGGGTAAACCCACAATAAAATCCATTGAAATATCTTCCCATTTCTAAACAGGGATGGGCAAGGGCTTTTGAAATCTAGGCATACGCGCCTTAACTCTTCAACAAGTGTCACACTCTGAGACGTACTTGGTAATATCATGTTTTATATTTTGCCACCAATACAAGTGACGCAAATCATGATACATCTTATTACTTTCTGGATGAATGGATAACTTAGAGTTATGAGCTTCATCCAAAATCTTTCTCCTAAGCTCCTCACTTGATGGAACAACCAATATGTTCTTGAACCTTACTACACCTTGATCATCGATACTAAAATGTGGACCATGCTCTTCGGCGATTAACTTCTTAATGTGAGGAATTCCTGAAGTATCTTGCCTTTGCTCGATAATAATTTGCTCAAGTAGATCCGAGACGAGCAATGTGAGCTAGCACCTTAGCATGGTTGAGAGACAAAGGTGCTTCTTCAACTTGATACGACTTCCGTCTCAAAGCATCAGCTACCACATTAGCTTTTTCAGGATGGTAATGAACCTACAAATTATAAACCTTGATTAGCTCTAGTCATCTCCATTGCCTCATGTTCAGCTCGGACTGAGTGAAAATATATTTAAGGCTCTTGTGATACGTATAAATATGCACTTTATTTTCTAACAAATAATGCCTCCAAATTTTTAGAGCGTGCACCACAACAGTCAGCTTTAAATCATGGGTGGGATAATTCACCTTGTGCTTTTTCAGCTGGCGTGAAGCACAAGCTATCACACGTCCATCCTGCATAAGCACGTATCCCAATCCAGTCCTTGAGGCATCATAATACACATCAAATGGCCTGTCAATATCTGGTTGGGCGAGAACAGGAGCAGTGGTAAGAAAATGCTTCAAAACTTGGAAAGCTTCTTCACAAGCCGAACTCCATACAAACTTAACATCTTTCTGGAGCAACTTAGTCATTGGTTGGGCTATTTTGGAGAAGTCAGGAATAAAGCGCCGATAATAACCAGCAAGACCAAGGAACTGACAGATCTCATGCACTGACTTTGGAGACTTCCAATTTAACACATCTTGCACCTTGCTTGGGTCCACAGAGATACCCTTAGGTGTCAGAATATGTCCCAAAAACTACACTCGATCTAACCAAAACTCATACTTGCTGAATTTGGCATATAGCTTGTGCTCCCTTAACCAAGTCAATACTATCCGAAGATGTTGTGCATGCTCTTCATTGTTCTTAGAGTATATCAAAATATTATCAATGAACACCACTACAAACTTGTCCAACTTCGGCATAAAGATTGAGTTCATAAGATACATGAAGAATGCAGCAGCATTGGTAAGACCAAAAGACATGACTAGGTATTCATAAATGCCATACCTAGTAGAGAAAGCTGTCTTTGGTATATCTTATGGCCGAATTTTAATTTGGTGGTACCCAGAACGAAGATCAATCTTTAAAAATACTTTGGCACCAGCCAACTGATCGAACAAAGTATTAATATGAGATAAAGGATACTTGATCTTAATGGTTACCGCATTGAGAGGGCGATAATCCACACACATCCGAAGAGTGCTGTCCTTCTTCTTCACAAAAATAGCTGGACAACCCCATGATAAAGAACTAGGACGGATGAATCCCTTCTCTAATAATTCCTCTAACTGTTTCTTTATTTCTGTCAGTTCATTTGGAGCCATGCGGTAATGACGCTGCGAAAATAGGAGCAGTACTAGGTTCTAACTCAATGGCAAACTCCACATCCCTATCCGAAGGTAACCCAGATAGATCTTTAGAAAAGACATTCAGAAACTCACAAACCATAGGAATAGAAGCAAGATCAGGAGAGGCTTCAGTATGAGCAACGACTGGCAAGGTGGGGACTGAAGACATAAGGAGAGACATTCTATCCTCCAAAGAAGGAAGTTTCAACTCAACAACTCTCTGCCTAAGGTTCAAGACTACCCCATAATTCCTCAACCAGTTTATTTCCAGAATTGCATCTATGCCTTGCCCAGGCAACAACATGAACTGGAGACAATAAGAGTGAGTTGCTAGCACTAGTCTGACTGTGTCCGTCCGAGTATTAATACACAACTGTGCACTCGGAGTACTGATTCTATAGACGATAGGAGTGGCCATAAGAGATATATTGTGCCTCTGTGCAAACCACATGCTCATGAATGATTGTGATGCACCAGAATCAAACAACACATTTGCTGGGTGAGAATCAATGGTAAACATACCAGCCATCACAGGTTCATTCTGCAAAATCTCCCCAGCCTCAGTGAAGTTGACTTGTCCAGAGCGGCTTACGGGCACCTTCTTCTTGATAATTGTCCTCTTAACCTGACGGGAGTTGGCTGGAGGCTGGGAAGACTGCGCAGGTTGGTTCTGTAGACACTCTCGAGCATAGTGGCCCTCCTTGCCATACTTGAAACAAGCACCAGACTTGTTTCCCTATCCCTGATTAGGCGGAACCTGTTGTCCCTGAGGCTGCTGTTGCACCTACTGAGTAGGTGCATGATACTGGGTGGGAGGAGCCTGGTAAGCCTGCTGAGACTGACGGGATGGCTGTCCACCCTGAGAGTGATAGGACATCCTCCTGACAACTTGCACCTTCTAAGCCTATGGATGACTAGAAGATTCAGTGATCACCCGCTTGCGCTTCCACTCCGCCTGAGAATCACGCTGAAGTCCCTCAATAGCAATGGCTGCATTTATCAAAGCACCAAAAGTCTGATATCCCCAGTGTACAGCTCCTTTTGCAAGATGCAAGAGAGACCACGGTAGAAACGGTCCCTCTTCTTCTCATCAATGTCTACATGGGTCCCAGCATACTGTGCAAGGTGGTTGAACTTGTTTACATAATCCATCACAGTCATACTCCCTTGCTTCAGATCTAGAAACTCAGTCAACTTCCTGTTCAGCAAACCAGCGGGAATATAGTACTAACAAAAAGCAGTGGTAAACTCCTGCCAAATCACATGGTGGTCCGCCAGCTGCATTGCATTGAAAGTATCCCACCATGCACTGGTAGACCCTAGAAGCTGCTGTGCG